GCCCGGGGTGCATCCCTGCGCGACGCGCGGCCAACAAGCCCGGCTCTCACCCTCGCCGCCACCATCCAGGGCAGTCCGCCTCCGCTCGTTAGAAAAACCCCCCTGCCGCCGCGCCGCAACCGCGCAAGCCCGAGGCAGGGGAGAACTGCACCTTGGCGTTTCCCAGGCGGTCAGCCCTGTCTTTCTCCCGCCCGCCGAGCGAGCGCCTGGCTGGTGGTTTCCAACTACCCAATGCGTGTGACCAGGACACTCAACTGTAGTGCCACCCACAAAGGCGTCTGGACACCTAGAATTCATGCAGCATGGGGCTGTCACTCCGCTTTTCACACCCAGAATTCCAAATCGGCCTCTGTGAGGACTCGCGAGCATCTAAAAATAGCCCGAGAACCAAAATAACCAACTTGACGGCGGGAATTGTAGCCGACCCGCAGGACAGGGGAGAAGCAGAACCCAAGAAAACCCTTTACCAGAGTAGAAAGTACATCCTTCTCCTCCAATGTGGCCAGCAGTCCAGAACAGCTGACCTTGAGGATTGCAGGCCAGCAAGTAACCACTACACCACTGGGGCCCTCAGTATGATTTGCACTCCTGGAGTCATCCATTCTGTTTGTACGTCTTTCACTGACTCCTCCCACTAACGCAATAAGGTGGTACCTCATTTACAGACCGGGAAACCGAGGTGCGTGGAAGCCAGATGACTTGACCGTGGGCATGAGCATGTATTGTGGAGTAAAGACAGTGGGATTTGCTCCCTGGCTGTTGGGCACCAACTCTCCTCCCGACTGTGCAGGACCTCTCTGGAACAGAAAACCCACTGCCCTGATGCCATTTCTGACTCTCAGAAACCTTCCGCAGGGTTCCCCGACTGTGCTTCTTTGTGGTGTGAGAGCAGACAGCCTCGCTGTTCTCCAGAGAAGCATCTGGCGGCTTGTAACTGCCAACGCCGAGGTGAGCAGCCCAATGCCTGTCCCACAGCGCCCCCAGCACTCCTCGGGAACATGCGAGCACTGAAAGGGTCATTTACCGCAACTGGGGTTGGGTAATAGAGTTGTTTAGGTTACTCTATTCCGTAAATCTCAAAGAGGCTCCGTTTGCCACTTTTCTAAGCTATTGGGAATGATCTCTTGAAAATGATCACCCCTCCCGTCTGTCTGTCCACGCTGCTTGCACACAGCAAGGGAGCAACAGGTAGCCCAGGAATAGACCCCTGGCCTTGAGGCCGGTTTCAACGTCCAGTGACTGACCCGGGTGTGTCAGAGTACAGCTGTGTTCTGTAGGGTCTTTGAGGGCTCAATGTATTTTTTCCTATGGGAATTATTTTTCAATGTTCCCAGATACAAAATACAATGTACTAAATCCTATCTAAGAACGCATACAACCTAAACTACCACGAACAAGTTGTCTTCACCGTCTTCACCAGCACAGTTTTGAGAAGTAGATCTCCAGACCTTTGCTCTGTGCTGCATCCAAACCAGCAGCCGTTCCATGCAGGCTGGGCCCCACCAGGCACTCCCATTAAACAGCAGTTGTCCAGCCCCCAGTGGCGCCCTGGTTTGGCTGCTAAACCAAAGGCCAGAGGTCTAAACCCACTGCCCACCAGATGGTCCTTGGACATAAAGATGGTGTCAAACCCAAACTCCCGGTCTGCAAGTTGATTTGGGCTCCTCGTGACCCTACTTAGGGTTTCTGCAACTGGACATCTCAGGCAGCCTTATCTTTGTCTCTCAGAGCAGCTGGTGGGTCTGAACCGGTGTCCCTGTGGTTAGCAGCCCATCACCTATCCTCTAGGCTGCTTGGCGTAAAGATTAAAGTCTTAGAAATCCTGTGGGGGATCATTCTGTTCTAGCGTCCTATGGATTAGAATCCATTGGGCAACAACAGGTGTAGTTTTTGCTGCGGTGTTTTTTGTTTTGTTTTGTTTTTCTATGGAATGGACACTACGACTGGAGTTGAAAGCTGACCAGGAAGTTGACATCAATTCAGAAGGGGAAGAAGATGTTGAAGAAAGGGGGATTCCTTTGGGAAGGTAGCACATGCCTGGGTCTGAGCCCAAACTGCCGAAGCAGAACCCAAGAATCAGCATGTTAAACGGTAGCTTCTGGAAGCCTCTCAAGCCCCCTCCCAGTCCAGGTCTATGCCTGAAGACAGCTGATCACCTCGGAGGGCCTCCCTGGGAACCTGGCCCTGTGGTGTCCCTCTCCTGGGAGCCGATGCCTGGGCGTGCAGGTTCAGGGCACGAGTTTCTACTTTCTCAAGGCCTGTAGGCTTGGAAGATTCAGC